TTATTGACTGTACTTATACTATATCAAAAGGTTTTAGATAGAGTTTTCATATTTGTTTCATTTCCACTATATCTAACTATTTGTTGTGTATTATGGTGAAAATGTGTGAGTTATGGAAGAAAAAATTTTCAAAAAATAGAGTGCTATATAACGCAATATTATATAATAATGTGTTATATATCCAATTTAGGTAAAAAATATAACGTTAGCCCTAGACTCCCGTCCATTAATTACAGCCAATTCTTTGAGGTTATAATATAAGATGAACGAGTCAAATTTGGGTAAGAGGTAAATTTTTCTACTCGAAATTGATCGTTCACTTTATATTATAATAGAAATGAACTGGTATAGAAATTTGTAATTATTGGATCTGTCCTTCTCGGACGGGTTAGGAACATAGTAGTGCATACATCCAACTTTGTATATTTTGTATGATTTCATTTCTTAAAAATTTTGGCAGCCCGTACCTGTTGTTCTCCGTGTACAATAAGCATATGTTGTTCTGCGTTTTGATATGTTGTCAGTGTGCATAATAACATCCGCACAGTATACAGGGAGAACAGCGGGTAGGTGTTGTCGAAATTTTTAAGAAATGAAAATATACAAAGTATATAAAGTTGGATGTAAGCACTATTATATTCTTAATGGGATAGAAGCCTTCCTATGATAGCCGTTAGAGTGTGCTAATTAGTCTCCATACCTTAATAAGTTTCAAACATACCTTAATGCCGATACTTAAATGCACAAACATATGTTTTGAATAGTTTAAAATTTATGGGTATACTATCTATTCTCAAATAGAGTTTCTAAATATATATTACCTACAGATGAGGAAAATTCCTAACAAGTCATGGATAGATATCCCTAGGAGTGAACGGTTTCGTGATCAACGTTATAGGGATGGATGTGAAGCCTTCATGAAGTATGCCAAAATGAACCCAAAAAATTTAAGTAGCGGTGCAATGTACTACCCCTGTTATAGGTGTAAGAATATGAAGCTAAAAAATAAAGATGAAATACAAAGTCACTTAGCGAACTCTGGTTTTTATGAGGAATATAAATATTGGTCCTATCACGGGGAAGGCCGTACCGAAGATGAAGTCCCGGATGTGCATGTCGATACCAGTCATGGTGTCAGGATAGATGATACAGACGTAAATTTACAGACTGATATTGGACCTGACCATACCGAATATGATATTAACAATGACAATGAAGATGATATCATAGTTGATGTCTAAGACGCTCATGCTCCTGAGGACTTGGATCGTATAATGAAACTACTAGAGGATAGTGAAAAGGATTTGTATGAGGGTTGCACCGAGTACTCCAGATTTTCATTTATGTTGGAGCTCTTACATATTAAGAGCCTCAGTGGAATGGCAAATACTTATTTTGAAATGCTTCTTGATTTACTATGGAAGGTAGTTCCAGGAGGAGAGCGTAGCATTCCTTAAACAACTTATGCGGCAAAGCAAATAGTTTCCGATTTGGGGCTTGATTACAATAAGATTGATGTGTGTCCCAATGATTGTATTTTCTACTACAAGGATAATAAAGACCTTCAGGAATGTCAAACATGTGGAGTTTCTCGATGGAAACAACAAACCCACTCTTCAACAAGGCAGCCGACAGAGTCAATGTACTAGCAGAGCATGATTCCAGCTAAGGTGCTTCGTCATTTCCCGTTAGTTTCCAGATTGCAACGTCTATATATGAACAAAGATACTGCTAAGAACATGAGGTGGCACAAAGAAGACCGTATAGAAGATGGTAAGCTGAGACATCCAGCTGATGCAGAGGCTTGGAAGCATATTGATAAGACTTTTCCCAATTTTGCTCATGAATGCAGAAATGTCAGACTTGGGCTTGCTAGCGACGGATTCAATCCATTCGGGGTTATGAGTTCAGGTTGGTCTACATGGCCAGTTGTCTTAATGCCATATAATTTACCCCCACTGCTTTGTATGAAACAACCATATATGATACTCTCATTACTGATACCGGGTAAGCATGCACCGGGTAATGATATTGATGTCTACTTAGAGCCCTTAATTGATGAGCTAAAACAGTTATGGTCAGAGGGTATGTTGATATATGATGCCCATGCTAAAGAGTCGTTTAGACTTCGTGCTATCCTAATGTGGACAATTAATGATTTTCCAGCTTATGCTAATATTTCTGGTTGGTCTACAAAAGGCAAGTTTGCTTGTCCAGTATGTGACCCAGAATTTGAAGGCCTTCACTTACCATATAGTCGAAAGTGTTGTTATTAGTTCAACAGGATATGGTTGCCCTCGGGCTACAAATACAGAAAATTGAGTAATAAGTTTGACGGCACTGTTGAGACTAGGAATAAACCACGTCCAATAACTAGTGCTGATATTGTAAAGTTACTTGAGCATCTTCCTAAAATTAGATTTGGTAAGAACCGATATTCTAAGTACGACTCACTCAAAGTTAGAGGCTCTGGTAAAAAGAAAAAGACACTGAAGAGGAAGAGAGCATTCCAACGGGCACATCTTGATAATGGAGTCGATAAATTACCAAAGGGATGGAGTAAATTTAGTATCTTCTTCCAGCTGCCATATTGGCAAAAGCTTAAAATCAGGCATAACTTGGATGTCATGCATATTGAGAAAAATATTTGCGACAACATATAAAATCAGGCATAACTTGGATGTCATGCATATTGAGAAAAATATTTGCGACAACATAGTTTCAACCCTCCTTCAAGATCCTAATAAGTCAAATCATGCATATTGAGAAAAATATTTGCGACAACATAGTTTCAACCCTCCTTCAAGATCCTAATAAGTCAAACGATGACCTAAGGGCTTGACAAGACTTAGCTGCATTGAATATCCAGGAAGATTTGCAAGCACAAGATGTTGGACTTAAGAAAAAACATAAGCCTTCCTCTCGTGTTATGATGTCGACCGAGCAGATGCAGTGATTTTGTGAGGTCCTCAAATCAGTAAAATCACCGGATGGGTATTCAGCTAATATATCAAATAATGTCCAGGTGCAGGAGAGGAAGCTCTTAGGCCTAAAGACCCATGACTATCATGTTCTTCTACATCAATTGCTCCCGATTGCATTGCGTAATAATATGGAGAAAGAAGCATTGAAAATTATTATGGAGTATTGTGGGTTCTTCAGAAAATTGTGCTCAAAAGTTATAGATGTGAAGGAATTGAAAATTATTATGGAGTATTGTGGGTTCTTCAGAAAATTGTGCTCAAAAGTTATAGATGTGAAGGAATTTAAAAAGCTTGAAACAGAAATATCACAGAAAATTGTGCTCAAAAGTTATAGATGTGAAGGAATTTAAAAAGCTTGAAACAGAAATATCATTAATTCTATGCAACCTGGAGTTAATATTTCTTCCTTCCTTTTTCACGGCAATGGTCCATGTTACTCAACATCTAGCCAGCGAGGCAATCATTGCGGGTCCTGTATCTTATCGTTGGATGTACCCAATTGAGAGGTAAGGGACTTCACCCAGTGCATTAATTTCATATGCAATGTATACAGCTAATATTTGTCCTTTCCGTGGTTTTCCTTAGATTAGATATTTGTAGTTCATAAAATTTTAATTACTATAGATATTTGGGGTTTATGAAGCGCCTAGTTCGCAATCGAGCTCATCCAGAGGGCTCTATGGCTGAAGGTTACATGACCAACGAATGTCATATGTTTGCATCACGTTACATGCGCAATCGCATAAAAGCTGATCAGCCCCCAACTAAGGAGAAGAAACTCATAAAATATCCAAGATCTGACTTGGAGCAGGTTCATGCATATGTATTGAATAATCTTGACATTTTCAGCGATTATCGAAGGTAATGTACATTAATTTAGGAATAGGATGACACATGAATTATTTACTTTCATTGTACCAATATAATCTCATTGTTGTATAAATAGGCGACATTTGGAGAAGCTTAACAATGAAATATCAGGCGGGAATGCAGCACATGATATCCAAAAAAACACATCAAAGATTTTCCCGATTGGTTCAGAACCGATGTAAGTAGCGTGGAAGTAGTATTTAAAATTTTAAGCAAACTCGGAGATCATTTTATTCAATTGATGCTTGAATTAGGTTGATAAAGATGTTCTTGCTGGTGTCATAATCTCTGAAGATATTTTAGTTCACGCACAATGTCCTTACTATGAAGTGAGACGATATAGTGAACACATCATTAATGGGTATAAGTTTAAAACAGTGGCGACCGATGATAAGAGGGTAACACAAAATTGTGGGGTCATGGGCTGTTTTGCTTAGGAATATTTTTCTAGCGTAAGAGATCAAAACCCAGTTGAAGCTGGCATCTTATATTATGGCCAGTTGGAAGATATTATAGAGATAATTTACGGCTATGGTAAAAAAAGTCAGCGTAATTATTGCATGTTTAAGGTTCGATGGAGTCCTGCCAAACCGCGCAAGGATCATTATGGGTTTACACTTGTAAACCTCGACAAAGAGATATATCTAGATAAGAAGTTCATATTCGCAGAACAGGCGGACCAGTGCTTCTATGTGAAAGACCCAAAGGTTGCCACCGATTGGGTCGTGCTATACAAGGAGCCAAGATCCATTGTCCTCCCTAATAATAACACTGATAGTGATGAGGACAATGAACCAATTGGTTCTTCTGATGAAATTTGGCAGAATTTATCTTACCCTCAGAATGTCATGCTTGATATGACAGATGCGGAGATTCAGGATAATAACCTAATTTTAGTCAGGGACAGAGAACCAGAGACAGATGTGCAACTAGAATCAAGTACTAGTAGACGAAAGCAGACAACGTTAAATATAGCCCGAACAATACAAGCAATACCTCGTGGGATACGAAAATAGCAAGTTGTAGAAGGTATATTCTATATGTCAGTTTAGGTGCAGATGTTATTTAAATGTTTAATTGCAATAGATGTTAATCTTGTGAATTAGTAGGCAGATATTTCTTCTTTAATTATCCTAATTCAATTTTACAGATGAAGAACTCGAGGTTATTCGATCGATCGCGTGATCGGTCACGATCTACGAGCCTAGGCTCAGAACAGCTTCAGGAGGCACACATTTCATCACATACGGATATAGGTATGAATTTCAATTATCTTTGTACAACTCAAAGTAGACATATGAAACATCATTTAGGCTAAGCTCTTTTTATATGGGTAGATGATGCGGAATTATCGGGTCGTCTTCGGGACACAAGTCTAGCATTCTCGCCTAATATAGGTATTAATCATATATGTGTTTGTAATATTTATCCAATCATATTTAACGTCCAGCTTTTGTATTTAAAATCTATTGCATGTTAGCAATATTATTTTTTATTTGCATAGATAATTTGGCAGGCATCGATTATTCTTCACCCGGAGCCACTGATTCACATGCAGAGCCCTCCCACACTACAGGTAATGGTGTCGCAATATATTCATTTTTACTTTGCATCTCAATATAATGATCCTTCAATTTTCTCGTATTGATTATCTTCTGTAATCATTGTAGAGGGTTCTTGGACACCATCGTCTTCACATCATACGCAGGGGACTGAGTTGCGTTTGTGGACCCCTGACATCTCCGATCTACCATTGCCTCCAGACTCGATCATATCAAAGACTAATGCTTTGAAGTATCATCCACTTGCACTCAAAAGGCTAGATGAACTAAATCCTATGATGCAAGTTAGAAAGAAAGTTGCAATTGCTGCGAGGGATAGAGAAGTGGAGAGAGGTAAATATAATAATTTTGTCTCATTGTTTTTGCCTTTTTATACTTAACTTCTATTGTCAATGTAGGGGAAAAACGAGATGCAAATCGACCGGGAGGACGTGGTGGAAGCAAGCCTGATTCCAAACAGGCACCGAGAGGCTTTCGGGGAATACTTCAGTGGGTTGATAACTAGCCGATCGGCCCGTGGTCAAAAAAATTTAATAACTACATCGGCGTTTTAGTACGGCGGGCCCAAATCATAAACCCATACTTCAAATTCAAGGAGCTTCCATGGTCCGCATACGAGGAAATATGGAGAGAACTGATGGTAAATGATCATTACTTTGGTATTTTTTGATATAGAATACATTTACAAAATGTTTGTAATGACATATACAATCAATTTGTCCTAGTATTTGCAATGACATACATGCACCGTGAAGGCATGGACATAGGCAGATATTAAAACTCACAAATATCTTGGACATACACGTGTACACACACTCATACAAAGTGGAGGAGCACAGAACTCACACCACTCACAAATATCTTGGACATACACGTGTACACACACTCATACAAAGTGGAGGAGCACAGAACTCACACCACAAACAGAAAATTCAACAAAGTGGAGGAGCACAGAACTCACACCACAAACAGAAAATTCAAACACAAAATGGCTAGTAAATTTCATGTTCTACTGCGCAACATCTAGGTAACCCTTGTGAAAGCACATGTTTGTGACAATTCCAATTCCTCGATCATTCCTTCTTGTTAACACTTAGTCTATTTAGGAAGTTAGTTTAGGTAGAAAGTTGGCTACTTCCATGTTGCATCTTTTACCCGTGTTAATGCTGTAGATATTGAATTTTTTCTGTGCGTTGTTTTTGTTAAAAGTTTTGTAGAAATGATTTTGCATTACTTCGCTGCTTAGATATCTTATATATCTAGATACAAAATTATAGGAATACTATTGTCTTGAGGACTACCTTGGGGCGTGGCACTATGTTTTCAATATCAAAGTTGAGGCCGTGCTCAAACAGTGGCGACATGAGTTGAAGACATCAACATATGATAAATATACCCAAGATTGGTAGAGATTTTTAAATCTCGATGAGAGGGTGGATCTTGATCATTTCACGGCTCTTCTTTTTTATTAGGATACCGAGTCCGCACAGGTATGAGTACATTATCATGTTGCGTACAAAAGCATATTGTAAATGCAATTCATTTTTAACACCTTTTATTTTTGTAGAATAAATCTAAGAAGGGCTCGACGAACCGACATAGCAAGCGGAAGCTTGACCACTACTTGGGATCGACGTCCTTTGCCAATCTTGAGTATAGTTATTGTCGAGACATAGTATAATATTTAAAGTTGATGTATTCACATGCTACAACCTTCAATATGACCAAATTTCGACATTTACTATTATATTTTGTAGGGGAAGCCCATAATGCCGATCGATTTGAAGGCAAAGTTATCTTACGACACCTTTCACTCAACATATAAAAATGAAGACAAGATTAAAGCAAACATGGTTTTGGTGGTAATTATTTTTTAATAAATTATTAAGTAATAACTATTACGTTGTTGTACATTTCATTAATTAATAGTTTAAACTGTTGTACTTTGAAATCATGCTTCCTAAAAAAAATAAGTTATTTCCACCCACGGCTTTTTATAGGGCCACATTCATTATTTGACAATTCAATATATATCTATTTTTCTTATGTGATTTAGGATAATATTGCTGTCGCGTCGAAGGATGCAGCACTACATGCTACCCAAGAAGCTGTTGATGACCCTCATGTCTTGTCTAGAGAGGAAAATAATGTCATTGCAATGAATGTGATGGGGTATAATAACCGAGACAGATTTCCATTGATGGGGGTTGGAGCTCAGCGGGGTACTTCCAGAAAATCCTCCACGGCGTCCTCGACAACCTCGACTGCGACAACATCATCAAACAGAACTCACACCACTTCTATAATTATGCGCGTCAACCGTTATCTGCGCGGTAAGATCGAGCGTACATTACTCATGCAGATGATGACAGCTATGTGTTCAGATTTGCCTCCATCCCCTACTAGCGACGATGTTTTTACACACATCGTTTTATGCTTGTCCGAGAAGATTTCAGCTGAATTATTTGAAGAAGTTTTGGACCAATTAGATTTAGACGTTGGCACACAGGTAAATTAATAATATGTCTTATTTTGTTGAATTTCATTCTCTAAATGTAAATCTATTTATTTTCAGGCTGGACTTGCTGGAGGAAGCAGTAGTGGCGTGCAGAGGAGGGAACTTGACGATGCTGAGGACTCTTGATTTTATGAGGTAAGTTAGTTAATTGTATGTGTGTATGTGTCTTGTGCGCTCCATTATTTTATGCGCTTAACACACAAAAGTTTCTTCATAATAACTCTATATATACTTGACTGTATGTGTGTATTATTTTATGCGCTTAACACACAAAAGTTTCTTCATAATAACTCTATATATACTTGACTGTATGTGTGTATGTGTCTTGTGCATGATTGCTTCATAATAACTCTATATATACTTGACTGTATGTGTGTATGTGTCTTGTGCATGATTGAAAATAACAAGAAAATTATTGCTATAAGTCTTCTCATGTGTGTATGTGTCTTGTGCATGTGTATGTGTCTTGTGTATATTGATACTTGACTGTATGCATGGGGTGTTAAAAGAACATAAGAGAGGACTCGGAGATTTTAGTTGGTTGTCCAACACTGGCATGATGAGCGTTGATCCGGAACCTTGGGCACTGTAACCAACCCTCTCATAAGATCCAACAGCATCATATGTGAACACACAACCCTTCCCTGAAGATGATAAGGTGGATAAGCATTGAGAGTTTGATGAAGTCAAAAAACATAAGTTTGAAACCGACTCAACCTTCATTGTCAAGGCCCCCCAGAACATTGAAAGCGTAGTATGGGAAGAAACGCTTGTAGTAAAGGGTATTTGAGAGCAGCTGAGCCTTTGCAGAGCAACTCATTTGTTTACTGTGCTGATGTTGATATGTCTGGATGAAAGAAGAATATGAGTAATGTAAGCATCTGATCTTATATAAGGAAAAATAAATCACTATAGCTATGCAAGAGTAAAAGCAGATTTCGGTATACAAGAAAGAGTCTAATAGTTTAGATCAAATTAGGACTAATATTGGGCATGTTCTCAGTCTAATAAAGTGTATGCTTGTGGAGGATTTGTTTGCTGAAGTACTTTTAGGAATTTACCTTTTTTTTAATATCCTGACGCTTTAACATTATTTGTGAATCTATGAAAAACATGATTCGGTCAGGCTAGATCAACTGCCTACTAGGCTAATTTGCACAACTGTATTTGTGAATCCTGCTTATATTCTGCAAATTTGGCCTCATGTTTAGTTATTACTCATGTTTAGTTATTACTAAGCATACTTCTAAATTTAGGAATATATCATATTCTTAAAAATTAATGCCACCTTCTTTTTTATCTTGCAGGTGCATGTGTTTCTTGTTTGCGTCGAAAATTGTTGTATTCATTATGGTATTCATTACAACTTTAGTCGTTACAATGAAAACAAAAAGATTGTCTTTTTATAAGACTTTTACACAATGAAAACAAAAAGTTACAACTCTCGTCAAAACAAACGCAGAGATTGTTTATCGGTCTTCTGCTTGCGTGGGATCTTTGCCTGTGCCGGGGTTTATCCGTGGACCGCCTTTGATCTGGATCCGGTTGATGAAAAATTCGGCAGAGCTTCGTCTTCACCGAGGAAGTATTTGATTTGAAGCGCTGAGATCGACCAAGCGAAATCAGGGCTCTTCTCGAGATTAAGACCAAGCCTAATCTCAAGGGACGGACGGGAATGGGTGTCGGATCTCTCGAACTCTCCTTCTTTATGCCGAAGAACTCGCCAAGATCTGTCAACCCTTGCTGAAATTCGTGCTCCTTTGACTCCACAATCCGGCAGCACCTCCTCGTCTTGATAATCAATCGTCCTTCCTGAAAGGAGGCCCTATGCTTGTATTTATAGGGCTTCGGAAGCGGTTATTTGGATGAGAACAAGTGATTTGGCCTTATCTTTTGTCAATAACAGCCTAATCACGTTTGTAGATTATATCCAAAGTTAGTTTGGATGCTCAGGCAACCAACAAATCTCGAGAAAAACCAATCAAAACCGAACCTGGCGTCAAAACAGCCGCGCGCAGGACAAAGTCTGCACCCGCCTTTTGCGCGGGGGCGGCCGAGCGCGCCGGTCCGACCCGTCGCTCCGAGCGCGGGTCGGACTGGCCGACCGCGCCGCTCGCTGGCCGGTCGCCGCCACGACCTCCTGCGCACCGGCGCGGGTCGGGCTTGGTCCGACTCCGCGTCAGGGTCGCCCGCGCCGTTGCTCAGACTTCGCGCCGACCCGCCCGCCTCGGGCCCCGGCCACGGCTTCGGACTTGGCCGACCCGCGTGGGCGGCCGTCGGCTTTGTCGACCCGCCGCCGCACGCTGGTCGCACACCCTCGGGTCGGGCTTTGTCCGACCCGCGCCGCCGCGGGTCGGACTTGGCCGACCCGCGTGGGCGCGGGTCGGTTTGGTCCGTCTCGCGCGGCGCGCTGAGTTTCGCTGATTTCTTGTGTTTTTACGACTTTTCCGATCTTCCGGGACTTGTAGTTTCTCCCGTTTTGTTTACTCATCCGTCGTGTTGACTTTTATGCTCCACACGAGTTGATTAATGTACGTTGATTAACACCATCGTGAATTGACTGACGCGCGCACTGATTGACATGCACGAGCTGAATGATGCGTGCGTGTTAACTGACTGTTGGGTGCGTTTGTACGCTTTGAGTTGATTAACGCATGCGGTCCACTTGGTGTTTTCCATTGCGGTGGTTCGTTGTCGTGTCATCAACAGTTTGCCGATTCGCTTCATGCGCTTGTCGGCGTTGGATAATCCTCTTTGATTCGGATAACGGCGTGTCTAGGGTAAAATCGCGCCCCAAAAAAAGATTGCTTCGCTCTTTCTCCTGCGCTTCCTCTGTAGGCAGTGGCGTAACCACATGAGAGTTGCCCTGGGCAGCTGCCCAGGGCAAGATTTTGGTGTGTGTATATATATATATATATATAGAGAGAGAGAGAGGGAGAAGAAGATGAAAATACAATGTGATGTTGAGCCTGACGCATTCACTTACAACATGGCGCTCTATGCAAACAAGGGCCGATGTATAATGCTATCTAAGATTTACTTTTTGCAATACCTATACTTGTATTATCTTTGGTCATTCTACTCGAGGACAATGGAAAGAAGCTATGAGCACTACAACAAAAGCTGTATGTGTCAACATTTAATTTATGACACATATAAAAGTGTCGTTTTATTTGTAAAAGATTAAACAATAGTAACACAAATAAAAAGTATAGCCTGACGGTGCTCGACACAACTGTCAACATCGGCCTCCTCTACTTCCTCTTACTCGACACAATCCCTTTGAGTTCCTACAACAGTCTTTTACCGCACTCCGCTTAAAGCTAGGTTTTATGCCGACTCCGACGACGGAGGAGCAGGAGGACGAGTCATCTCCTTCGCCGATGTTTGCGCCTTGAGATTTATCGCCAGCCAGGATTATTTTTTCGCCCAGGGCAAAAAAAATTCCTGGCTACGCCACTGTCTGTAGGGCAAAAATAGGCCAAGCATTTCCCGCTAAATTTCGACACCGGATTGAGGTTTCAACCACTCGCAGTGTTGCAAACAAGGATCAAACAACAAAGAAGGGTTCTAGAGTAGCTCTCTCTATTGTGATCGAGAAGCAAGTATCTAGAATTTGTTAGTGATCCTAAACATCATATGTTATTTATCTTTTTCTATGTTTAGACTGTAGATTACTAGATTATACTAATTATGTGTAGATTGTATTTAGGACATCATATTACATATATGCACACTATATAGTAATCCTATATTTACTAAATATCCCCAATATTTTAACGATTTCCGCAATCCGTCATGAATTTTAGCCGTCCAACATGTCACCGACATCCGACATTTAAAACCTTGAGTAATACTCAAGCAAGGCAAAGTAGCTTCACACGATCAAGTGGTGCATTAGCGAACCTAAAATAGCATTCCAGCAACCTATGAAAAGATTAGGTACATTTTATATTTCAGACACATTTATGGGAAATAAAGCAAATTTGCTATCTACCACAGATTTCTGAAACGCATGAAGTCTTTTTATACATCATTACACAATCTTAAATTGCATCTGGCCACAGATTGTAGCAATACCGAAACTAGATCCAGATGTTTCAGATTACGAAGCCAGATTAAAAATGACGAAACTCTCTCATGAACTGATAAAATTCTACTTTATAATTGAAAACAGATCTAGATATTGGAGAATTATTCACACGTAATTAACAGTACTAACAGAATTATCAACAAATACAACAGATCTGAAGAAAAATTAACCAAATCGTTCAAAATTACCCGATCAACTTGCGTGGATTCCAAACACCAATGCTTCCATCATTCAGTCCACCAGCAACAAGCCGGCTAACGGTACTATCCGACGCCGCCACGGCTTCGACCACGATAAGCGAGTTGAATCGCTCAGTGCTCGAAACAGCGCCGCGGAAGGGAATCGAAGCATACAGATGGGAAGTCGGGTCTGAAACCGAGTTGCGAGGAAGTGAAGAGAATCGACGCAGGCGCCGCATGTTCGGCGGCGAGGAGGGGCCTCGGGCGAAGGCGACTAGCGCCGATCGCGACGCGCTCTTGATGCACGCCATGGGAGATAGAGGGAGGGGAAACCCTAACCCTAGATCTAGGGTTTCTTGATTTGATTAGGATCCGTTACTGAAGAGAGTGAGAGTTTTCTCTATTTTGATGAAGTAAGAAATGGGGAGAGAGAGAGAGCGAGAGCGAGAGATCGACGAGGGGAATGAGAATGAGGAGAGATCGACAGGATCTTGAGGCCAGAAGGGTCCGGTGGGGTCCGCGCGCTCTCCCGGTCTGGTGTTCCCCTGGATCTCTTTAAGGAATCTGGTGCTCGGTTATGCAGTAATTTTTTACTACATTTCATTATGGCGTGGCAAATAAACCTGGACCGTCGGATCAATCTGAAACTGCATCAATCCATCCAATCCCATAAATCATTTTTACACTATAGCTCGCATCAAACGTTTCTCATTTTTCTTTTGGAATATAGGTTTTTCCTGAGATAATTATTATTTGACTATATTTTAAAGTTTTTATATGTCTTTTAGACAAACCTAAACAAACCATGTCATTTTTCTGAATTCCTTTTACTGGAGAAGCATTCATGAAAATATTCTAAAAAAACATATTCAAAATTGAATCGTAAGTCCATACGGCTTATATTCAATTACAAAATTCAACAAACTTGCTAAGAGTTCGTCAATTCTAAACGCTAGCTCTTAAATTGGGAGTTCTGAGTATTTTTACATGCAAAAAGCACCTGGTAATATCAATCTCGGGTCAGAAATCTTAAACCCTAACCAGCATTTTTTGTAATTAAATTAGAACTGGTTGAATTTATAATTTAATTTAATTTTTGGTCTCTCTATAAATCTGTCCCTTATATCAACAGCAAATATAGTAAACTTAACATGCGCACGAGCCCAGAAGTAAGCGGGCTAGGCTGTTATTTGGGCCTCGGTTACCCTTTATCCCTTATCTGACGGGCTGAAATAGATTGGAATGCAATTGGCACTACGAGATACAACAAAAAAATAGTTTTTTAATTGATATGTACAGTAAAATTAAAGATGGGATTCATTGTTTTAATTAAAAATTTAGTGATAAAATCATTGATATATATCCAGATGCATATAAATACGAGGATATCAGTATTAACTCCTTATCCGTTTCGTTGCATCTGTACAACAGTGTACATGTTACATATAATGCCAATAAGAGCATCTCCAATCACTTGACAAAATCTCCATCCCTCCAAATTTGGAGAGTAAATCCTCTCCAATCACTCTCCAAATTTGGAGATGGTCCACTCCCCAAATTTAGAGAGTGAAGCTAGAATTTTGAAAGACTCTCCAAATCACTATTTAAACTTTTATTATTTACAACTTTACCACTTTTAACTATTTGCTTTCTTAAAAATTACCACTTTGCCATCATTCTTAGTAATTTAAATTAGATGTTTAATTTCAAATAAAATAGTTAAAAATTATTAATTTAATTTTTAAAATAATTATATATTTGGAAAGATCTTGTCAAGACCTTCAAAATGAAACTAAGATTAATTTTTTTATTATTAGTATAAAATTATTATTTTTTAAATTAAATAAATAAGTATCAGACATGAAAATTTAAATATGGGGATCTATTTAACTTACCCCATAAGAAAATACAAACATAAATTATAATATTTAAATTACATTCCTTCGTTACTGTGCCTCTGCCATAAAAGCTCAATTAGCGCGTTCCGAATCATAAAATGAGCTTCCCTATCTTGAATCTTCCTATGTCGATTGAGGAATCGTTGGAATCGTTCGGCATCATCAATCTCCATCTCTTCAGGTCTCGAAGATTCATCATGAACAATAATCTCTGGTTTCGCATCACGTTCATCCTCCACGGTCATGTTATGTAATATAATACAAGCAGTCATTATGTCGTGTAGTCCCCATTTGTCCCAAAAACATGATGGTCCCTTGATAATGGCAAATCATGACTGAAGAACACCGAAAGCCCGTTGTACATCTTTCCGATATCCTTCTTGCATAGCAGCAAAGAGCGGCCTCTTAGGCCCTTGTGGTTAGGATATTGTTTGTACAAGAGTAAACCATTTGGGGTATATCCCATTGGACAAGTAATAACCTGTATCATAATTCTTTTCTAAAATACTATAATTAGCATGAGAGGAAATACCTTGTGCTAGTTGGTCAAACAAATTTGAAGATTGTAGTACATTAATATCATTGTTAGATCTTGGTAATCCAAAAAAAAACATGTCATATCCATAAGTCATATGAGGCTACTGCCTCGAGAATCATTGTTGGGCATCTGTAACGTCCCGAGTACTGTCCCGCCCAAGCCGTTGGATAGTTTTCCATTTTCAATGCATGCAGTCTAAACCGCCCAAGCCATTGGACAATTTATGTTTGCTTCCTTGTTCTATCGATGTATGATTTGTCACTGTTATTTCATATTTTATTTTTTTAATATGTTGTATTGTATTATTAATATTGTGTTCATTTTTAAAGCTCTCGCTGACACCTTTCTAATGTTTTTATTTTTTTCCAAACAAATTATTAAAAATAAAATTATTAATGTAAACTATATCCAACATTATTAATTTATATCCCTTTTTGACAAAAAAATAATAAAAAATATTTAGAGAGTGGGGGTTGGAGCAAATCTCCAATTTCCACTCTCCAAATTGGAATATTCCTAAAATATTCCAATTTAGAATATTTTAGGAATATTCCAATTTGGAGAGTGGAATTTGAAGAGTAGGGTTGGAGATGCTCTAACAGGTAAACTAAATTCAACACGGAATTCAAGGGTAAATCCAATAAACAGTAAGTTTAGAACTATATGTCCTTACAACAATCAAACTTTTTTGGTCACAAAACTTTGACCAATTTATGACCAAATTATCTCATTTCTTCAAAACTGTATATCTTCTGCATACATCAAAAAAGTACAACTGTATATTTTCGACATCCGCAACAAACTTTTGAGACATAATAACATACATAGTATATGAGAAACCCGCTAGTTTTGCTTACCCCTCTGAAATGCTAGTATCAGTCTCTCACGAAGTCGATTTATATCCAATGTCACATTCTGCCCCTCAAGATAAACCTTCTTAGTAAACTCCCATCCCTTTCCCTTCATCACACTCTCCGGATCTCTCACTATCGGATCATCTCCGCCGTACTTCGTGTACAACGAGCTCTCCGTATGTCGTATCTTATACTCTTCATACTCAATCCCAAATTTAGGCGCCACGTCACCAAAACACATCCTCGCCAGCTCATCTAGCCCGAGTGGCACAATTTGTATAAACAGCGATTCGGGTCTCAGGAAGAAGAAATGAGTCAGTGCAGCTCCGTGCACGCCCATCATAATGTCGCATGTGCTCAAAGATTCGTATATTGTCGACATCTGCATCGTGTTCTCCGGTCTTAGAACTTCTATCTCGAATCCAATATCTCTCGCCATAGCAACGACCTCCTGCTCGTTCTCTATCGCCCTTGTCTGTTTTCGGGCCACAATCACAAGTTTCGGCTTGTGAGCGTGATTCTGGTCTTGTTTTTGTTTCCTGATCTGGTTCTGGTTCTGGTATGCCTGATCAAGCATTGTTTTGAAGTCAACAGTGCTCTTGTTGTCCCTCATCCGTGACGGATCAATCATTAGGGTTTCGTGGAACCGGAGGCCTACTATAGCCTCTGGAAAACAATGTACCCTCTCATCGTTAGAGAAATCTATGATAGGGTAAGCGGAGAGCTGGGAGAGGATTTCTCGGTACTTTGTATACCACCAATGTCGATACTCAAGGATAACGAAGACAACTTGTCGGTTGAGATGTTGTGATGTTATATACAACGGAATGAGACCATTATTGAAAGCGTGAAAAATGTTACCGGTGTAGCCGCCGAGAGAGAAGAAGAGAGCCGTCACGCTGTGGCGAACGTCACAACGGGGAATTATTGAAGGATTGACGGTTTTGAGGCAGAGCTCGGGGATTTTGTTCATGATGAAGGGCTCCCATTTTCGAGTATATGGCCGGATTTTTTCGACAGTGGGGGAAGAGGAGTTGGGGTTTGAGATGAGAAGGATAGATGAGGAAGAAGAGTTGGTTATTGTATTGCCTTTAAGGAAGCAGATGTCACTGTGGTAATTTGTACGATCGCAGCATATTGTGTTGTTGGCCATTTCTGAGCACATGCCTTCCGCATTGTTGGTAGTGTAGGTAGTGACTGTTTTATTGCCGTCCGAAATGAGAATGTCTATGCAAAGATTGGAAACAAATGTTAGAATTTTTTGCGAATGATACCCAAATTAATTTCGCGTTTGACGTCATAAAAAAAAACTATGGAGATAAAGCAAGTGTAATGGAAAATGTGCCATAATTCTTTTTCTAACTTGTAGCATGCAGTTTGTAATGAAAATAAGCGTTTTTCACTCAACCTATGTTATTTTAAATTTGGATTCTTTTCATTTCTTATTTGAAAATAGGGAAAAAATAATTTCCAATTAGAAACCGTGTATTCATATGCAGGACAATTATGATTTATTCAAAAATATAGGCATCATACATCACGAAAATACTTTCCAGATTACACTCTCTTCTACTTTTTACCATCGCCTCTACTTCTTGCTCATGCTAAATGATAGATTGGTTGTGATTCAAGAAGTGTATCTTGTGAAGGAAAGATTCAAGATACAAAAATGTCATAACCAAATTTGAAATGCTGCGCTTTAAATTAAAATGAAAGAATAAACTTTTGAAATCATAGTGGTATGGAGATAATTCAAATTCAAAATTAAGATAAGAAAACATGGTATGACTTTTCACAAAAGAGATGAACAAGAGGTGAGAGCTTACCATTGAAGGAGAGAGAAGGGATGAAGAAGAAGCGATGAGCAAACAACAAGCTAGCAATGAAGAGAGGAGCTAGGAGGAAGAGAAGAGGGAAAAGCCTTGGCTCACTCTTCTTCATTTGATCTTCGCACATTTGTAGATAATAGAACATTGCCTACCTTCTTTGATTTTTCTTGAGGAGGAGGAAAATATATGGAAATTTTGTCAAGGTTCAGATACAAAACAAGCTGGTTCATTGTATGGATTTGGTAGGTATATGCATGCAGGATTGGACAAATGGATAGTATTAATGGAGGGGAAAAAAAAGAGAAAGTCAGGTTGGATTCTATTAGCTAGGAGCCTAGGGTGGGTCATCTCTTTATAATTGTCGCCATAATTGTTCAAAATAAAGTCTTTGGGATCCTATCCTACACAATAGATCATTGCTTCATACATCTACAAACTACTTCATTTCTATTGACTAGAGTTAAAATAATGCTGGCGTCCTTAAGCAAAAGTGGGCATTGATTGAAAAGTGTAGCCAAGTTACGTACACTTGAGCCTAGTTTTACTTTATTCTACATTGTATTATTTTAAAGCAAAGGCTCATGTGCATCCAAGTTTTGTGGGAGTAAGAAATTCCTAATTGAGATAAGGAGAATGAATTTTTAAAAATGACTTACATACATTCAACAGTTCATGAAAAGAGAAGCTTTATATGGAAGAAAGGAAGGCATACATGAGAGAGACAGAACTCCCATTAATAAAAACCACAATACTGCCTAAAGTAAACAATGCTCACTTGATTGACTATAGCTTTTCCGTAACTATATAACATGATGATATTGCACTCCAAAGTAAATTAAACCATTTAAAAAAACATTTTAAAATTTTTAATGGGGGTAGCGGTTATGAACTATCATATCGTTTAACAAAAATAAGCTAACAAGAGATAGGAGTAGCAAGATCAATATGCTCCTATGCGATTAGGATTGTAGATCTCACAGTCAGTCTACTTAATGACTCATTTTGCTAAATAAGCCGGCGCCCTATATGCAATTTTTCCATCCTAATATCTAGAGAAATCTTAAACTAACATGTACATATTGCTAGGAAGCATAGAAAAAGGGGGGCACTTACATCAAAAGCGCCTTTGCTGCTGAGGATATCCAGGATTTTGCATGTTCAGTCCTGTATCCTTCATTCACACGAAAAAGTTTCCCCAAAAATCTAACTGAAGCATGCAAGAAGATAACCAGCTTGGGGATGCCAAATTGAAAGCTTCGGATGTCCCAAGTTAAGACTTGAAGTTTCAAATAATAGCTGTCAGTTAGAAATAATATGACAGTGCATTCTTTCTTTATTCTGAAGAATGTAATAAGCCTATAGCATCAAAAGATTAAAAAATCTATTAAACAAAGAACTTAACCTAAAGACAGTAAAGAAAAGCATTTTTTACTGGTAGATAGTAAAGAAAAGCATTTTTTACCGGTACGATAACCCAATAATAGGACCATCTTTGTCATGATGGAAACTGGTAGTAGACTCCACAACCTGCACAAGACGCACGATCGTCAGAAGTTTGATTAGGGTTCGACAAAGCAATGTTTGAAAAAGCTTTTTTGAAACTCGCTTCGTAACTCACTTCAAAACTTTTTGATTGGTGTTGTGTGCAGCGGAATCGAAAATCACAAACGAGATCAAAAACAAGTATACGTTACTTGGACTCTGGTATGAATATCCGATACGGGTGCGGATCCGAGTGTCCGATATGAAATTTTTGAAAATTTTGGATACGGGGATACCATCCTAAATTTCGACACGGGTACGGGGATACACTTTTAATAATAGTTTAATTTATTTAATGAAGTACAACCGACACGGGTACGGGGATACACTTTTAATAATAGTTTAATTTATTTAATGAAGTACAACTAATTAAATTCAAAAAATATTAATTTATTGTTTTTTTAATAATAGTTTAATTTATTTAATGAAGTACAACTAATTAAATTCAAAAAATATTAATTTATTGTTTTTAAGTTTGTGGGTATTTTATAATTTTTGCCGCATGCTCTGAAATCTATAAATTAATATATATTTCAGTCGCCTATTAGAGTAGTGTTTGAAAGGGGGGGAAAAAGAAGAGAAAATACAGCTGGTGTAGGGAGAGGAGATTGCTATGAGGGTTATTTCTTTTTCCAGCCTTTGGTTAACTCCACGATGAGCTATCTTCTCGTATATAGTCTGAACCACACTGGGCCGCTGAGAATAAAGTATATTTTTTATGAAGGATGTATTTCTTGGGTCATTTTGTGAACTGTTAGCCCACAGACTTCAGGCTCGTCCCATTAATAACTCTACCGCTTGCTCCTTCGTGGCATTCTCGTAATTTTCAGTGATCTCTCGAGAACAAATACACGAAGTCATTCGACACCCTATATTTTTCTAGGGTTTCTCCATACCATCTCTATCTGGAGCCGCCCTCCCCCCCCAAAAAAAAAATCAAAACCCTAAGTTGTCAACGAGCAGGCACCTCCACCTCCTCCATCGACGATGAAGAGCCATCTCCTCCCCCTCCTTCGTCGACGACGAGCAGCCGCAGCCCCCGCCAGCTGGAGCCAAGTATGTAATTTTATCTTTTCTTTCTCTATTTTTTTAGTTTTTCGATTCACACACCTCGCCGTATCCAAGTGCCAACCACCGTATCCAAGTGCCAACCACCGTATCCGACCCGTATTTCGTACCCGGATCGGTGTCGGGTCGTATCGACGTCGGTACGGCGATCAAACCGTCGTGTCCGAGTAACGTAGACCACAGCAGACAAGACACCAAATTTACGTGGTTCGGCAATGTGCCTACGTCCACGAGGTAAGGAGGGGATAAATCTCACTAATAGAGAAAGAGTACTAATAGAGATTACAATCACTCAATAAACTCACAAACAACAAATCACTCTTGATTTCTTTTTCTCTCAATCTCTCTCACAAAATTGCCCAAATACCAAACCCTAATCACTCTCTAAACTCTGCTTCTTACTCCTCAAAAGGCTCTGTCTATTGATTCAAGGATGCTCATAGAGGAAGAGAAGGGAGAGGGTTTTATAGGCTTCAATCCCCCCTTTGGTCAAAACGTGCGGCTCCCGTCTCTCTCTTCTTCCACAAGTGCGGCTCCGGCTCCTGACTACCACCCCTCTCTCTCTTTGTTGTCAACAAGTTCGGTCGGCTACCGCCCCTCTCTCTCTTTGTTGTCAACAAGTTCGGCCGGGTCCTGATTCAAGAGTCCTCATTTTGACTTCTTCATCCTCTTGTCAACAAAGGCACAGGAAGAGCCGAAAGCTCTTCCTCCCATTCTTGACTAACAATCTTCACCTCGGTGAAGTTTTCCTATAACTGAGCCGACATTTAACGCCAACCAAACGTCTCACTTGTTGCGTCCAGTACGAAGTTGAACAAATCCACGACGACGGACTCAATCCACAACAAGTCGAGACCCAAATGAGAATGTGATCACTCTCCAAACATCAGTATCAACTTACCAAACCGGCTGCATCATAAAATGACAGCTTACGTATCCTCTTACCCAAGGAATCAAGTCTTCACGTAGTTCACCAAATGACCTCCAAAGGCCCTCAATCAAGAGTTCACACCCCTTCTCTAACATCACCAACACATCTGCAACTGATAGTTCTCCTAATGGTCCTAAAGTTAAACAAACCAAACACCTCCACCTGAGGTGAACCAACAGCCATATTCAAATCCGAACTATGTCCACCAGCTGCACTCGAATCAACCAACTCATCATCTGTATCCAAATCAATATGATCCCCAATCTATGTCACCTTAGCTGAAATCCCAAACGATGCAGTATGATCCGGAGTATGTGGAGTAATCTCCACCCAACGTGGAGTAGCATCACCCTCCATCCGTTGTGATATCGCAACGATCTGATCAACACTCTTCACCTACTGAGAGTCAAATGTGACGTACCTACTCAGAACAAAATCAGAGTCTAAAATCTGGTAGCCAAACATGACTCTGAATCCCAAATATGCACTCGGATCAAATCTCACATCCTCGATGTGACCATATGCTGGGCAACCAAATATCCGAAGCAATCCAATATCTGAAGCAGCACCACCAGATTCAAAATCTCCAAACGCAACAGTCGACAACCTATGAATAAGATGACACTAATATGTCAAAGCTCCAATACCAAAATCAATGCTCGACATCAAACATCGATCCTCCTCCAGCAAGAAACGACTCATCAAATCTGCCACATCATCTCGTCGCCCCAATGTTTCCTCTCCAATGAAGTGTCTTAAACTGCCATGAGCTCGACACAAACGCAGAAAAGAGCCTCTACCAAAAACAGAACATGTTACTTTTCTGTCAATACACTTCCTCCATCTATTGTTGACTACTAGGACTTCATACCAATGGGAGTTGGTTGCAACCCATAAATGCCTAGAACAGTCACAAACATAGGAAACTAAATATCTATCACCTCTCAATGATGCCTCCTTAGAAGGCCCCCAAATGTCTGAATGAACACCACCTAAAAGACCCTTCACTCGGTGAATAGAAATGTCAAACTCCACATCGGTCTTCTTCCTCATACTAATGTGCTCACAGGACTTCAATCTGCAGGTCAAAATACTCCTCAATAATACATGTACGACATCAACAATCAAATATCCCAGCATCAATAAACACCACAGTCTAGCCAAATCCAAAATAGTCGTCAGCTCTCCACCAATCACCGTGCTCCCAATCAATAGTATAAATTCTTCTTTCTGACGCCCTTCATCATAATCATGGACCTAAATGTGACCTTCAAATACGCATCCTCTAAGATCACCCGATAGCCTTCTGCCTTCAAAACTCCAAGTAAAATGATATTCTTCTTTAACTGTGGAACAAACCTCATTTCCTCCAACTCCTGAATCACCCCGTCACACATCCTAATACGAACGGTACTTATACCACCAATAGGGCATTCATGATCATTACTCATGAGCACGATATCCCTTCTTTCCAACTCCTCAAAGCTGGAGAACCAATCCCTCCTCAAACAAATGTGGTAAGAAGCACCTGAATCCAATATCCACTCAGTAGAATCAGCATAACAAACTGATGATAGTGCTAATGAGTAGTCCGAAGAATCTGAATCTGAATTGTCGCCACTAGCTTTGACAACATTCACCTCTGAAGCTTGAATAGTTTTCCTCTTATTCTTCCCGGCTCGACCTATCAACTTTGGACAATCAGACTTTCAATGTCTATCCTCTCTATAAAAAGCACACTGATTTCTACCAACTGTAGGATGTGCCCTTCTTGGTTTTAATTTTGAGTGATTAAATGGACGGTGGTTTGGACTACAACCTCTCACTGCCAATGCATCTCCCGATACCTTCTCAGAGGGTTCACTATCATTTTTTCTCAATTCATAATTAACCAATACTGAGGTCACTTTCTTATAACTGACAGTAGTTCTACCATTAATCATTATAAGGACAAAGGTATCATAATCATCCTCTGGCAATGAACATAATAACATCTTCTTATCTTCATCCTCTACCATGATATCCATATTGGCCATATCCGATAGCAATTTTATAAAATTATTAACATGTTCTCTAATAGAAACTCCTCTCTTCATTTTGAATTGGTAAAAGCTCTTCTTTAAATGAAGCCTATTCTCAATGCTCTTCGTCAAATACTTCTCATTGAGTGTTTCTCATAACCGTTTCGCTGATATTTTATTCATTACATCATAAATCAAATCTGATGTCAAACATGATCTAATAACCATACATGCTCTACTATTTATTTTCTTCCAAACCTTTTCCTCCATATCAGTGGGTTTCTCTTGTAATTCAAGAGTCTCCTCCAAATTTTGGTCATCTAATGCATCCATCACTTGACACCTCCACAATCCAAAATTTATATTGCCATTAAAGTTTTGAACATCAATTTTTGTATTATTAATACTCAACCCTTGTATCGCCTTAGTCAAGGATGATCCCGATGTACTTGCTTCGGTCATTTTCAATCTAATCTTCAAATTACACAACTACAACTTGAATTGAAAAAGAGCAAATTTAGGGTTTGTACCTCCAAACGAGAATCCACACCGAATCCTCTAATTGATTTCTCCACCACTCCTTGGAAGATAAAATTACTTGTAAAAACCCTAGCTTTCTCCTTCAATCCTCCAAATCGAATCCCAAGCTAATCCGGAGCTCTGATACCACTTGTTGTGCGTAGCGGAACCAAAAAAATCACAAACGAGATCAAAAACAAGTACCATAGCAAGCAAGACACCAAATTTACGTGGTTCGGCAATGTGTCTACGTCCACTGGGCAAGGAGGGGATAGATCTCACTAATAGAGAAAGAGTACAAATAGAGATTACAATCACTCGATAAACTCACAAACAACAAATCACTCTTGATTTCTTTTTCTCTCAATCTCTCTCACAAAATTGCTCAAATACCAAACCCTAATCATATCACTCTCTAAACTCTGCTTCTTGCTCCTCAAAAGGCTCTGTCGATTGATTCAAGGATGCTCACAGAGGAAGAGAGGGGAGAGGGTTTTATAGGCTTTAATCCCCCTTTGGTCAAAACGTGTGGCTCCCGTCTCTCTCTTCTTCTGCTAAGAGGCAGAGTACATGTCTAGGAGCACCAGGAGGGTTTGACTTTATCTGCTCAAACATATCCTCCACTCTTGAAGGTGCAGGGAGCCTCCTTACAGAAGGATTCTCCTCAAAAAACAAATGGGTCATCTGCTAGCTACAAAATTAAGCAAACATAGAAATTGTTGTAGGGTCAAAGAAAAGTATTCACATAAAGCAATATGATCAAAGAAGGTATCGCATATGTTTCTGTCATGTTCCGACATTTGATAAGAGCACACACAAGATTTCTCATATCGCAACAAACTAGAAATTCACAATAGCCCACCTATCTGCAGAGCTAGCTTCAACAGGTTTCTGCAAAACAAAGAAATTTCTCATTTTAGACAAAAGAAAGGAAGCTCGACAGAAGATTGCGATAAAGAACCTTGTTATTGAAATTTCACCTCCCATTCCTCAGCATAAAATCTTCCCCATTGCCGACTTTCAACTGTAGCCAAAGAACAAAGAAAGCAATTCAGCAATAAAGGACAAGAGCAGTATTGCAAAATAACATGTTATTATAAGCATCTTAAAAAATAATGTGTATGGAAAGGGATACAAGCAAACCATTGCTGCTTGTAGCACATGTAAAACTATGCGCTGATAGAGACACCGTAGCAAAGGATCAGCATAATAGTTGTTGTTCTTCAATGCCTATTAAATGAATGGAATTAATGACAGTTCATATCTATGACCAGACATTATAAAGGGTTTACATTGCTCAAAACTGTCATTCTTTCCTGAAGCTTTTGCCTTGACTTCTGAATGAGCGAAAATATTTGGAGTGACGATAATTCATTTTCATATTTGAAGAGACACCAAGGAACATAGATTTGGAGGAAAGAAAATCCAAGTTGAAAATACTAAGGCACAACAGAACACATGACAGAAGAAGGAGCAGGCATCACCTGCCATTTCTTTGCATAAATTGGCAATACAGAAATCAGTCCGATAGCAACCTCATACCAAGATGTATCAATAGTGCAATGAGAACATTCTACAAGTATTACGGATACAGAGACAATCAGTTAAGGTGAAACATGAATTAAGATACTAAAATGGTCTTCATGCATGTAGTCCAAATTACTTCTAATAAGGTCTACATCATTTAGCTTATTCTTGCAAAATACCTTAGGTAAATGTAGCCCTCTTCATCTGATAGGGACTCCTCAAAGCTCTTATAGTCATTCTCACTCAGGCTATCATTTCCACCTAGGCTTCCCAGGCCAGCAGTTCTACAGAGAAAAGGAAGGAAGAGAAGAAACAAAATATAAGCGCCCAGACTAATAATAATTATATATTGCAACTATGGACGTCACAAAGAAAAGCATAAAAACACCTATCCAATAGCATAAAAGCATCTATTAGAAGACAACATATTGTAAAGAAGCTCTATTCCCTATCACATGCAACATCCTTGTTATGAAGCTCAATGTCACCATTCTAGTGTAATTTCTCGATATTTTGCCAACACCCTTACCATCGACAGGCCAATCATCTTCATACTTCAAGCAACCCATGCAAGAAGTAATGCATTCAGAAGAGAGGGGAGGGAACTCCAAGTGACCTGTCAATTACAGAATAAGTATATCGCTGACAGAATATCACAAGTATAACAATCATACTGATTTGCCACATGCCAATATCATACCAAACAGACAAGCACTTCAGTGCTTCCTGAGAGTATCATGGCCTTTTACAGCCATAGCAATTGACTGCATTGGAATCTTTGCAGAAAAATTTAGCTAAACTTTAAAGGACTTTGTCTGTTACAGATGCCTCAAGCTCTTAAACTCATTCTCGCCCAGGCTGCAATTCCACCTGGGCGTCCATTGCCAGCAATCTACAGAGAAAAGGAAAGCAGAGAAGAACAAAATATAAGTACCAGGATAATAATGATTGAATAATAAGCACACAAGCACCTATCTGATGGTGCATCCTCCAGAACATCAAGGACCTTGTTCTTCATTTGTGGTAGGTAACCTAGTGCAAACAAACTCTTGTCCCTGTCATAAGCAAAATCTTTGTTACCGAGCTCACTGTCATAAGTTTAGTGTAATTTGTCAATAACTTTTCTGCCAACCCCCTTGCCGTTCACAGGCCATCATCATCGTACTTCAAGTTAACCTGCATATATCAACAAAAAAAGGTAGTCAATATCATATCAATTAGCTAGACAAAGAAAAGAAGGTCAAGTTTGTACAGGTAAATAGAAGTGCAAAACATGGGGCACACACGGTAGCGATAGAAGTAATAATCAATATTCGCAACTGAAACTTTGAAATGATTAGTCACAAGTTGTATATGCTGCCTCGCATAGCCAAGCCGCGGCTGGGCATTGGAATATGCTTTGGAGTTTATGGTTTTTTAGGTGGTACTGGTGGCGTAGGTGGCAAACCCTCTGTTAAAATGCCCTTGAGAATATCCAAGTATATTTGTACTTTATGGCTACTAACGCCTAAAACAAGCATAGAAGAGAGAAAATAAATGTCCCACAAACAGAGCAAATAAATGTTCCAACAAAAAGGCTTAGTTCGTAGTTGATGGGAGACGAAAGGCTGGCCAGGTTTCAAAGAGCATTGGTAAAAATATATGACATGAAGATCGGCAGCATAAATATAAACAGTTAAAACATGGTACATGATGTGGATATCCAAGTCAGCAACCAAAATGAAAGATTGATCTATTTGAAACATAAGGTCGTTAAGATCAGAAATTTGAAAATTCAAAATGCTTTCAAGACTGTTATCATAGATATTTGTAAATAGTTTCTAATATGAATAATATACCTGTAAGGAACAAAAAGATCACATGAGACTTCAAATTAGAGCATCCTCTTTGCCGATGTAATAAAGGTTGATAAGCTTGCAAAGCTTTTTAAAGAAACAACTACAGAAAGATGAAAAATAAACAGCAAGGCAGGTAAAGTAATAGTAGCATATAGAAACATCACCAAATTATATATATTGTTTTTTTTTAATATCTTCAAATGTTGCATTGATTCTAACTAATAAATATGGTTAAATAAGTCCATGAAGTAAATTTAATACTACAATTAGACTGTGGATAATCAATGCATGCCGAGTGTTTAAAATCTGAAACACAATGCAACAATTATAGGGGTTCAAGATAGGAATTACAAATAACTCTCTGTGAGAATGAGGCAGCAGACAGTTATAACAAAGAAACACAAGTTAAAGAAGGATTGCGGAAATGCTTACTGCGGCGATGTCATCCATTTTCTCAAGCAAAGTTTTAGATTGGAGCTGGGGTTGGGTGATCAGCTTCTCCTTGACCTGGTATAAAAGGGAAACACAATTAAACATGAAAATATCGATTGTGGATCCTCTCCACTACAAAAATAAATAAAAAATTGTGGAGGGACCACTGCTTTCTATTTTAACCATTGACTACACCATGAGTGATTGTGATATATTCTAAATGTAACATGTACCATCATTTTTAATTTGCACTCAAAGAAAAAATCATAATTATGTATTGCTAGATAATCAATGGTTGTGATTAAATAGAGATCATTTTACTGTATACTGTTTTTTTATAGTGAAGAGGATACATATCCGAAAATATCACCCTTAAAAAACAAATAAAACAAGAAAGGAAGAGAATGCTAACACTAATTTGGGGGAAATGAGAAGGCAGTGATTGATGAACCCTAGTAACGGTCAAAATTAAAACTTTGAACAGAAATCCACAGCATTTTTCTTCTAAAGTTGGAAATGAAACGAAAAGGATAAATTTCCACAATAATTCGAAAGGAAATGAAAAGGATAAATTTCCACAAAAATTGGGAAGTAAATCGAAAGAAAACCCCAGAATTCTATTTCACAAACAATAAACTAAAGTGTAACAAAATAAAATTCTGACATTTGGCTCTGAAATATTTGAACACTACAACCCTAGCACTGGAATGACGCTACGCGGAGAAAAGAAAACGCGAGTTTTATTGTAAATTATCAAAAGGGGCCTCCTACTGAAAAAGGAGCAAAAATTTTTTTTTCTAAAAAACATCTTTAAAATAGGGTAGTTATTTGAACTTTCATTTAAATAAATTATATATAAAGTGAGTTTTTTTTTACAATCTACTAGAAGTGGGTGAGTGGTTGGGCCGGGCTTGACCCATGAACCGGCCCTCCCAGTTTTGGATGGGGCTGGTTCAGATCTGAGCATGGACTAGCCTCGACGGATCGGGTCGATGACTTTGTCCCAGGATTTGAGGCCGGATCCCACCCAGTTCAAGGCCCGCATGGGGTCGGTCCGAGTCCCTCCTAGCCACGACGGTTTGGATCACGGGTAAGCCCACATTCTTTATTCTTTAATTTTTTTTCAAAATTTGTTAAATTGTTATGTATAATTAAAACATGAAAACTTATATTTTATCTTTCTAAAAAATATGAACGCTATAAATTTACAATCTATGATAAAATTATCTCAATGGATAAAAGATTCACAATAATTTGAGCACTTTCAATAATCTAATGACCACAAATATTAATGAAAACACTGAATAGGGTTCAAAAAAACTCTACTACTACTAAAATTACAACTCACCTAGAAGTTGTATTTTTCAATTGAGTTGCTAATAAAATTACATCAACATCTAACTATCACTTAAGGCGGGTCGAACAAGGCAGAGCTGTGCTAGGTCGGATGTGGGTCGGGTCGGCTGGGGCATGGGGCGGGCCTACTTCTTTGTCCCATGTTTAAAGCAGAACCTAACCCGGCCCACAACCTGGGTATATCATAGGCAGCCCTAGTTCTTGACCCAGTACAAACTGGGCTGATTCAGTCTGCGGTTTTAACCAACCCATGCCCACCCTTACAATCAACCACCTCCGGTCAAAAAATTGATTAAAACACCAAAATTGCCCTTATAAAACTTTTTATTCAAGGTGCATGGCTCTTTTATTAGTGTTTAGGTCTAGTAAGAATACAACTCATGTACCATTTACTTGAATTTTTTACGCATGTGTTTAGCCTTTTAGTGAAAATATATGATCAATAGGTGGTTGATTGCAACAAAAAACATATTTAAATATGGTTTATGTATAAAATTAAAATTAACAGGCGGTTTCCATATAATTACTCTATTTTTAGGTGGTTTCTAGAGGAAAAAATCTTTCAGATTTCAAAAAACTACGTTTAAAATAGGATGAAAAGACAAAAAAAACATCTTTAAAGTTCAAGTACCATCTTTAAACCAATTTTCGGTTGCAAACATCCACCTTTGATGAAATTTTAATTAAAATCTCTAAAATATTATTAAACATACACATGGCACGCATGTGGTATGTATTATTTCTTACCCAAAGCTGACAAATGTTTCAGTATATTTTTCAAGGGCATTTGGGATTTTAATCAAAATTTAACTAGAAAATAGGTGCAGGTGGTTAATTATAATCAAAACTCCTTTTAAGATGTTTTCTGTGTCAATTGAACTTTAAATGTGGATCCCCCACTTTAAAGATGAGTCTTGTGAAAGATCACTGAGTCACTGACTATTGTAAAGCCCATTCAGATTTGTAAATTAGAAAGTTCAGCTAAATAAGACAACTGCGTATGAGCCCAAGCAACGATTAAGAATCAGGCGTAGTCAGCCCACTGGCTGGGCCCATGAGATATGTACGGTTGAATAGTGAATAGTGAATCGTAGTTTAGCCCATAAGGAAATGAAACGGGCCTAGACTAATATAAGGAGCTGTTTGGATCGGTTTTTTGGATGAGTAAAAGGGGGGAAAGCTGTCAAAAAAACCAACTTTTTGACATCTTTCCCCCAAAATCTCTTCTATAAGAGACGATTTTGGGAAAAAACTATCAAAAAGCTGATATTTTTGACAGCTTTCCTTTCTTTTATCCATCCAAAAACCAGAACCAAACGGGGCCGTGCATAGGCTAAAATAATATGTAAACTTTGACATTAGTTTACACTTACAGCCTCCCTACTAGTCTGACTAAGTCAAAAGACCCTTGATCTTTTGGGTGTTTGCCACGAAAACTTACCTGAACCTCTTTTTTTCCCACCAAATCGCCTTAGAGCTCTGGGTGTCTCACAAAATTCCACTAATTTTTCCAAAAAAAAAAAATCCAACTGACCACCCTAACAATGTTAATGAATCAACAAACATTTGTTTACTACACAGTCAATGTTCACAACACCGTCGGGGGGTCTGTTAGGAAACTCCGAAAGGTTAGGGGGTTTTGTGGAAAAAGTTTACCCACCAAAGTTCAGGGGGCTTTGTGAAATTTACCCAGTTAGCAATCACAGTCACGGGTCACCGAAGCCATTTCTCATTTGAAACGTGCTCTTGACGAAGAAAGAACAGCACTTAACTTGATACGCAATAAAAGCATCCAAAACGGAGGAATCAAAGCAGTGACTGATGGACCTACCAATCCCAAAATTTATATACATATGGGATTCTAATATAATAATGGAAAATGATAGGGACATACCCCCAACTATATCCCAAACCACACCCCTCTCTCATATGCTACAGTACACCAGGCTCCACATACGATTTTAAAATTTTAAAATCTCATATGGGACCCGGTATACTGTAGTATATAAGAGGAGATATGGTTTGGGATGTGGTTGGGGGCGTGTCAAACTACCAAAACTGCACCCTATAATAATCTCCTCATTATTTCTCAAAAAAAAAAATGCTACAGACACACCTCCGGCCACACCCCTCACCTGCTACAGTGCAGGGCCCCACTTGAAATTTTTAAAAAAAATTCAAGTGGGGCCCCCTACACTGTAGCAGGTGAGGGGGTGTGGCTGGGGGGGGGGGCGGAGGTGTGCCTGTAGCATCACTCTTTCTCAAACTAAGGTCCCCTACACTGTAGCAGGTGAGGGGGTGTGGCTGGTGGTGTGGCCGGAGGTGTGCCTGTAGCATCACTCTTTCTCAAACTACCAAAACTGAAATCGTCCATCGCTTCAAACGGTAGGGCCCACCGTAGAAGAAGAAGACCAAAAAAAAAGTTTTCATTAATTTGTGGAGTAATTCCCGTGATTCCTCCATTTGTTTTTTTCTTTTCATATTTTTGACCTCGATTTTAATGGGGAAAACGGTCATCAGTCAAAAAGGTTAGATTTTGACATTGAAAGCGGCCGTAAATACAGTAACTACACTTCCTTTTCAGTTACAGGAGCTCGAGGGTCGAGGCTATTGGTGATTAATAACCTTATAAATTAGATTAAAATTCTAATGTACTTGGATGTCGTTTCATTTTTTAAACTTGGCTCCTAAATTAAGAAAAATACGAACAATGCATCATGAGACAGGTAGCTGACATCTCACATGTCTCATGTAGAGTCTCATATTTTTGGATCCCCGTAGCATCACCCCGTAATTAAAATAGAAAGTTTTCTTAGACTTACACTTTATAGAATTTCACAATTCAGAGTGTAAAATTAAAATTTATAACTTGAACAAAAGGATCAAAAAGACTTAGACCCGTTTGGTTCTGGTTTTTGGATGGGTAAAAGAGAGGAAAGCTGACATTTTTGACAGTTTTTTCTCCTTTTACCCATCCAAAAAACCAATCCAAACAGCCCCTTAATCTCGAGATACGTCTGATCTTATACCTTATTTATCTTTTCTATCAAATTCCAACTGTAGCCTATCTTTGAGCCAGCTAGACTATAAATGTGCTCCTCACAATATCTCGATTCCCACGTTTGCATGTTTGGTATTTTCTCTCTCTGAATTAGTAATCAAATAACAACATGTCATTATATGCAATTTACACTGTACCTAAGGAATTAAAATCATAAAAAGTCATTAGGTTAATTGCGAACAGACCTCCTAGTATGATTCAATTGCAAAGAGATCCTTTATAGTTCTATTTGTTGTGAATAGACCCCGTATAATTCTACTTATTGCGAATAGACACCCATTCCTTTAATATTGACACGAGTGTGAATGCATCCTCTCTGTGAAAATTTTCAACTATTTTAGAAGTAAAAAAATCTTAGCAATTGAGTATCTATTCTCGTCAATAAAACTATAAGGGGTCAATCTGACTCCTCAAACATTTTAAAATGATTCTAAGAGTTAAAAAAATTAATCAGGATGTCTATTCACAACGAGTAGAATTATGGGAGGTCTATTTGTAAAAATTAACGCGGAGCGGAAGTGATAGCCTCAGAATCCACCAAGGGCATTCTCTGAATCCACAAAAAACAATCTTCGAATCCACGAAGAAAATATCGAAAAGATAAAATTTATTGATCAAAAGTTATTATTCTCTTTTGGGGTTACATGGCTCTTCTTAAATGAAAAAAACAAATAAGACTCCTAATAAGACTAGAATTACAAAAAAATAAAAAATATCAAATTCTATCCCAAAATTACACCCTATAATAGAGGAAACAAATCATGAATCAAAATTGAATTTGTTTCCTAATCTAATTGGACTCTAATATTGAATTTATTTTCTAATCTAAATAGACTCTAATTTTATTACTAAAAATAAACTAGAAACTGATTATTTTCGGATTTCAGCCAAAACTGAGTATTACTAATGAGATTTTAAAAATCTGACAATCTGGTTGGCTCCGTCTCGTCGGGATAGACAATTTACATGTATAATACGTCAGATGTCGCCTTCCGGATTGAGAAATATGATTGTTTCTTTGCTGAAGTCAATAATACGTGCAGCCCATGATTCTCCGAATCTTGTCCGTTAAGAGTCCTACATCATCATCAAAAAATAAAACTACAAGTAATCTCTTTGTAATTGAGTGGTACTAGAAGGTGTATTTTTACAATTAACCCTAAAAGATTTCATGTGACATCACACTTAAAAGGCTTTTAAGCATAGAATTAGATCAACCACTCTCTCTCTCTCCTCTCTCTCTCTCTCTCTCTCTCTCACTTTGAAAATCAAAAACCAAGGACAAAGAAGCAAAGGTCCCATCTCCGCTGCTACAATCAAAAGCAAAAGCAAAAGCAGCAGAAAACACTGCTGACTTTCTCTCCATCTCCTCCCTCCCTCCCCCTTCCAC